ATTGAATAGGTTTTTCCAGAGCCAGTTTGCCCATAGGCCAGGACGGTTGCATTGTATCCTGGCAAAACAGAAGTCACATACATAGTGGTGTTTAAATATTTTCAACCAATCAATATACTCAACTTCTTTCAGCAATTATTTGCAACAAAATTGAGACTGCTCTCTTAAGACAAGGGTCTCTTAGGACTAGCAGACATACAGAAAACTTAGATGGGTGCCATGATTTTGCATTAGTCCAAATAAGCAAAGAAAAAAAATACCAACTCCAGAATATGTGCCCCTCTTTGTGGCCCTTAAAAGCTAGGAAGTAAAACATTTATTTAGTTAGTTATTCAAATGTTATTTTTGAGAGAGAGAGTGAGAGCAAGCGAGCAGGGGAGGGGCAGAGAAAGAGGGGGACAGAATCTGAAGCAGGCTCCAGGCTCTTAGCTGTCAGCACAGAGCCTGATGTGGGGCTTGAACTCATGAACCATGAGATCATGCCCTGAACCGAAGTTGGACGCTTAACCGACTGAGCCACCCAAGTACCCCAAAGAAGTAAAACATTTAAAGATATGAATGAGGTAATAAAGGTGGCCCAGTCACTGTCAAAAAGCCATTCAGAGCTTTATAATTCTACTTCTAGCAATTTTAAATTATGGGAATTAAATGAAAGTCTTAGAAGTTGCATAAATAGAAGGAATTCCAACATATATGTTTTTGATTACCAGTCTTCATCTGAAAAGGCAACAACGTAGATTTTTTATAACCAATGAAAGCATCCACTCCCTATTTAAACTCTCAGTCCATCTGGACCATATTATCAGGCTTCTTATAGACATGTCATCATTTAAGTATGATTTAATGTGATATATGTTCTTGGCCTTTTTTTTTCTTTTTAAAAGAACTTGTATGTCTAAATGAAGACCTTGATATTCTGAAAGATCATAAGATGTTAAATCAAGATTTCCACTGTAATAAATAGCTAGTGTCAACTGGCACAACTACAGGGCAAAAACATAACATTCCATAATCATCTACAATACCACAGATATGTGTATATAGTAGTAACTGGGGAAACCAAGTTTCAGTACTTTTTCCAAAATATTCAGGGCTCTCTGGTATTGGGAATTCAGAGTAGAAGAGGATGCCACTGAGCTGAGTGAAAAAATATTGGCTTTGCCTTTGCAACTGAGAACAATGTTAATCAAACATATACATATTAGAATTGCTACCTACTTTATATTGCCTCTAAAGACTATAATTTGATTCTTATAGTTTCCCAAGTTAAGATAAAAGTAGAACTATAGGGCTCTTACTAAACCGTGAAGGTACATTCTGAGGAAGATGACCAGATGATGAAGGGCCTGGGAACCATATTGTTTCTGGAATAACTAAAGGAAAGGAGGGATGGTTAATTAGAAGACTTAGATAGAATCATATAATTGTCTTCCAAATGCGTAAATAGGAAAAAGTTTAACTTTATAGTGAAGAAGCCTCGCAGACAACACTGTAATCAAATGATCAAAATGAACATCAGCAGTAACGAAATAAGTCATCATGTGCTGTTTGATAAGATTCAAAGGAAAGAATACAGCACCACTTCTGTGATATTCCTACTGAAGATATGCAACCTGAATCTTAATCATAACATCAGACACACCAAAACTGATAAACAGTTTACAAAATTACTGGCTTGTGATCTTCAAAAAAGACTGGAAAAACTTTAAAATGAAACAGACTATACGGAGGCAGTACAACTATATACAATAAGTGCTTTTAAATGAGATCCTTTTACTCTAGAGGACATTATTGGGACAATTGGTGAAACTTGAAAGAAGTCTGAGGGCTAGATGGTAGTAATACAGCAATGCTTATTTCATGATTTTGATCTTTATATTGTAGTTATGTAGGAGGAAGCCCTTGATTGTAGCCAATATACATACACATTCAGGGTGCATCAGGTCAACAATTCATCTCAAATGATAGAAGAAAAAAAGTTCTTTATGCTGTTTTTGCAACATTTCTATAAGTTTGAGATTATTGCTTTAATGTTTTTAAAAAAATTTTTAAGTTTATTAATTTATTTTGAGAGAGACAGAGAGAGAGAGAGAGAGAGTGCGCACAGGGGAGGGGCAGAGAGGGAGGGAGACAGAGAATCCCAAGCAGGCTCTGCACTAACAGTGCAGAGCCCAACTCAGGTCTTGAACTCACAAGCCACAAGGTCATGACCTGAGCTGAAATCAAAAGTCCAATGCTTAGCCAACTAAGCCACTCAGGTGCCCCTGATTTAATATTGAAAAAATGTAAAACAGTGTTCAATGTGTCCTGAGCCATAACATCATTTAAAAAAGTGGGGGAAAAAACACGTGAATAGCTGTTGCCTGTAAGAAGGCTTCTATTTACCTAGAGGGATTAACTAACATCACTGGAAATTATAGGGAAGCAAATTTCATCTCAATATAATCTAACCCAATTAGAGTTGTCCAAAATCCAACCAATAGGACCCCCTATTGCAAGTTAGTGAGTTCCCTATCCCTATTTAAAAGAATTTTAAATAGATGGTGTAAGTTCACTTAGAGATATTGCTGGAAAGTATTTTTCTTTGGATACAAAGTAAGACTAGGTGATGTAAAACATGCCTTTCATCTTTAAGGGACTGGTGTGCCATGCTTCTACTTCTACGTAGCTCTCTGCTTTGAATCCTGAATAACCTCTGTACTAAAATAACAATAATTAGGGGTGCCTGGGTGGCTCGGCCGGTTGAGTGTCCTCTTAGCTCAGGTCATGATCTCACCGTTCTTGAGTTTGAGCCCCATAATGGGATTGCTGCTGTCAGCACAGAGCCCACTTCGGATCCTCCATCCCTCTCTCTCTCTGCCTCTCCCCTACTCACTCTCTCTCTCTCAAAAATAAACATTAAAAGAAGAATAACAATAATTAGACACCTCTCAGACATTGCTCCCTTCTTTAGAACCCTGCTATGGTCTTCAACAACACTAAAGCCTTAGCTTCTTCTTTTTTTTTTTTTTAAAGGCTTTAATCAACGTTTATTTATTTTTGGGACAGAGAGAGACAGAGCATGAACGGGGGAGGGGCAGAGAGAGAGAGGGAGACACAGAATCGGAAACAGGCTCCATGCTCCGAGCCATCAGCCCAGAGCCTGACGTGGGGCTCGAACTCCCGGACCACGAGATCGTGACCTGGCTGAAGTCGGACGCTTAACCGACTGCGCCACCCAGGCGCCCCAAGCCTTAGCTTCTTTAATAAAGATTATTAACTGATCAGAGTATTCGGGGGCTTTAGAAAATATCCTTCTTCACCTAAGGATTCTACTCATCATTCAAGACCTATCTCAAAGATTTCCTGTGTTGTGAAATTCACCCCTAATCCCCCGGCAATATTAGTGCTATCCTTTAGGTTATCATACCACTTTGAACACAGTGCTACTTCTATAGCAGGATTGAGTCTATTGTGCATTTTTAACTTTTAAAATGTCTTTTCTTAGGAGTGCCTGGGTGGCTCACTCAGTTAAGCGTCCGACTTCCACTCAGGTCATGATCTCACAGTTGGTGAGTTCAAGCCCCACATCAGGCTCTGTGCTGACAGCTCAGAGCCTGGAGCCTGCTTTGGATTCTGTGTGTGTGTGTCTCTCTCTGCCCCTCCCCGACTTGTGCTCTCTCTCAAAATTCAAATGTAAATAAATATTAAAATAAAATAAAGTGTCTTTTCTTAAAGGTAAGTGCAAAAAGGTTAAAATTTTTTATGTATTTAAAATTATGTATGTAGTCATCCACTTCCACTCCTACTCCTGGACTTTGAACTCCTCCAGGGCCTAGAAGCTATATGATCTTTCTCTGAATCCCTCAACAGGCTTTGCAGTACCTGGGCCTTAAGTAGGTTGGCATACCGATCATCTTCAGCACCCATAAAAGAACTTAGAATCTAATGGAGTTCCAGGACAAACAAACAAAAAATGTATATACAAGGCAAAGATGAGCAGAACCACCTACAACAAATACGGTATCAAACTACTTTCAAGCGTACAGACTTTCACAAATGACACTGGGTTAGTTCCTAGGCTGTGGGCTTTTTGAAGGCAGGGCTCATGTTTCATTTGTTCATGTTCATTTGCAGCACCGAGGCACAGTGCCTGACATAATACACGCTCGAGGAGTAGAAGAATTACATAGCCTCACCTTTAAATACGCCTTTTATGAGTGGTGCTACTGCTGTATTGAAGACTTCTTCCTGTTCAGTAGAGGGATCAAACACAAAATCGTAGGTAAAGGATTTGTCAGTACCAACCACCACCTAGAGAAGGCAAAGAACAGGGAGTAAGAAAAAAAAAAAATGAAAGGCAAGACCACGCCCCTCACTGCCATTTGGCCCCAGCTGTTCAGAGGCCAGCCCAGGACTCGCCTACGCACCTGTGGCTCCCCGGGTACGAAGGAAAGGCACATCTGGCAGCCCTCACTAATCTCTTTGGGGACCAGAGGGCGACATCGCAATGCCACTCTTACTGGAATTCCCTTCACCTCTTCCTTCATGATCCTACCGCAGCACCGTCTCTGAGGGGAGAAAAGAAGACACTTGCTGATGAATTTTGGTAGGTCAGGAGGGGTGGGAGTTCCAGTCCTCCTCGGAGGGTGGGATGGATTGGTTACGGAACTCAGCAGAAGCGGCGGCAGCCTCCCCATCCCAGGGGGGATTGCTGCCTCAGGAAAGTCACTGTCCCTCAGACAGGGCAGCCCGTCAGCCCGACACTCTGAAGAGAGCGAAGTGGAGTCTGAAATGAAAAGGAAGGCCCCCGGCGGAGATGACGACAAAGAACCAAAGCCCCACGGTACCAGGAAAGGCAGATCCTGAGCTAAGGTATGCCCCCTTCACTCACCAAACTAAACGTCCCTTCCCCGATCTCCCGCCGCCCTATCTCAGCCGGAGCTTTAACCGCCAAGTTTCAAATCGGTCCCTGAGAAGCCAGCCAATCGAAGCACAGACAGCTTGCGGGCACAGCACACACGTCGGCGCGCGCCGGAAGACGCGTTGGGAAGGGGCGGGCCTGCGCGCCGCACCCTGATCCCGCCCTTTGCGACCCATCTGAGCATCCGCTTCCGGCTTCCAGAGTGAATTGGCGGCGAGCGGAGGCTGAAGTCCCGGAGGCCTGCGGGTGGGTGAAGTGGTACGGCATTTGCGCGTCGTGTGCGTGAGACTCAGGCAGGATGCGGGGCGGGGACCTGGGAGGTGGCTGGTGGTGAAGGAAGGCTCGATCTGGGGACCCCCACCATTACTGATCACATGTAGGGAATGTGGGGGCGGTGCCCTGCCCCGAGCCCCTGTGGACAGTTGGAGTCAGCCCTCCCTTGGACTCCGAGAATAGACAGATCTTTTTAGATGCTCCCGATTTCCTGTTCTCTAGAATGAAGATGGTAACATTTATTTGCAGTATTGTTGTGAGAAAGGAGATCATCTCTATGGATTACCTAACCAGTTGCTTGGCATCCAGATCTTAAGCAAAGTTAAAAGTTTTCTTCCATCTTTTTTCTTCCTTCTCTCTCTCAATCTTTATCACCTAGAAGTGGACTGAGTGCATAGACCAACAGCCTTGGGACGGATTGGGGTTGTTTTCTGGAGCTTGCTGGACTGCTTTTTGAAGCTTTTTTTTTTTTTTTTAATGTTTATTCGTTTCTGAGAACGAGAGAGAGCACAAGCGGGGGAGGAGCAGAGACAGAGAGAGGGAGACACAGAATCCGAAGCAGGCTCCAGGCTCTGAGCTGTCAGCACAGAGCCCAACGCGGGGCTCGAACTCAAACCATGAGGTCGTGATCTGAGCCAAAGTGGGAAGCTTAATTGACTGAGACACCCAAGTGCCCCTGCTTTTTGAACCGTTTTTATCAGCTTTGAGTCACCCTTCCTTCCATTCAGGGCTTTGCTGGAGATGGACAGCCGGATTCCTTATGATGACTACCCGGTGGTTTTCCTGCCTGCTTATGAGAATCCCCCGGCATGGATTCCTCCTCATGAGGTGGGAATGCTTGAGTAGGGGGTTTATCCCTTTGGGCGTGGGATGATATATGAAAGGTAGGATGCTGGGGTTAGAAAAAAGCTCAGTGGAGAGTGAATTCTAGCCTTTGTTGTAGCCAGGGGACCCAGAAGTTGGATTCTGAGCAACTGGGCCCATTGGGGACTTCTTATGTTATTGTCCTGTCACAGTTCATTCACACCAGAGAATTCTGGAAATTCAGAGCCTTAGTTTCTATCTTGTCAAGGTAAAGAGATGGGGAGTTACTGGGCTGTTGACATTTCCCCGTGCTATCCATCTACCTATTTAGACAGTGTTATCTGTTTTACTTAAAACTGAGTCCAAGACCACACCTTTTCCTGACTTCAGGGTGATACATTTATATTCAAGATGAAGGTGAGTGTAAAATCTAAGGCTGGTAGTAAGATTTCTGTGGTTGCTATGTCTTGCAGAGGGTATACCACCCAGACTACAACAATGAGTTGACCCAGTTTCTTCCCCGAATCGTCACACTGAAGAAGCCCCCTGGAGCTCAGGTGAGCTTATGGAACAGTTGAGTCTTATTCCAGGCTAGCTCTGTCTGTACCAGGCCCAGAAGTTGACAGTGGTTGAGGAGATGGATGGTAAATCTGGTAGGGAGGTAAGGAAACTTTCTAATGGGCAGAAAATCTGAGATACCACTTCCACAACTTCGACTTCTCTCTGAGGAAGGAACACGTAAGCCAAGCTATCATGTATAGTTACGCTATTAGATGTTTTTGTGTTTGTGGTCTATATTGAGTCACCTCCCCTTTTTCTGCCCTTACAGTTGGGATTTAATATCCGAGGAGGAAAGGCCTCCCAGCTAGGCATCTTTATCTCCAAGGTATGTGTGCCTGGTAAGCGACCATATTGCTACTTCCCTTTGTTAAAGTTATCAGAATGCAGAATCCTGATGTCCTAAAGCCTGGGAGAAGGATGATTCAGTAGACTTACAGAAGGTGCATAATGGGTACACCCTTTCCCATTTAAAACTTCTCACCCAGCAAACCCTCTGTTTCCCTACACTGTCACACACACAAAAACAATAGCACCTTACATTTGAAGAGCACTTGATTTTAATTACAGCCTTTGAAATGATGTCACCTCAATCTTACATATTCTCTCCTTACCAACAAACAGGTAATTCCTGACTCTGATGCACATCGAGCAGGACTTCAGGAAGGGGACCAAGTCCTAGCTGTGAATGATGTGGATTTCCAAGATATTGAGCACAGCAAGGTGAGCACAGCATTTGTGCTGTGGTGAGGCAAGAAGCCATCCCCAGTAGGAAGGTTGGACAGGATTAGACTGATCTGTAACTTGATCAGAAGGAAGCTCTGCTGGGGTGCCTGGGTGGCTCAGTTGGTTAAGCATCCGACTTCGGCATGGGTCGTGATATCGCGGTTCGTGAGTTTGAGCCCTGTGTTGGGTTCTGTGCAGACAGTGTGGAGCCTGCTTGGGATCCTTCTCTCTCTCTCTCTCTCTCTCTCTCTCTTTCTCTTTCTCTCTCTACCCATCTCCTACTCACGCTTTCTCTCTCTTAAAATAAACTTTTAAAAAAGGAAGGAATCTCTGCTGATGAAGTATACTAGGAAGAAGCAGCTATTAGTGACCCAGAAGGTTGGAGTGGCCAACTTTCTCCTGTTATGATACTGTCCTGGGTCATATCTCTTCATTTGTACAAGCTGCTGTGTTCCTTCCAGGCTGTTGAGATCCTGAAGACAGCCCGCGAAATCAGCATGCGTGTCCGCTTCTTTCCTTACAGTAAGTGCCACTCTCTTTTTTACTTACCTGGCAGGGCCCTGGGTAGGAACTCTTTAAATACTGATTACTAAAGGCCCCACAAGTTGGGGAAGGGGACTTGGGAGCTCAGGCCTATAAATAACCTACTCGTTCCTTCCTTTCCTTTCTTCTTTTCCTCAGATTATCATCGCCAAAAAGAGAGGACTGTGCACTAGAGAGTTGCAGCCCATAGCCCTCCACATTGAATCTTCTAGGATAAGCTGACTAGGCCTCAGGGAAGCCTCTTGGGAAACTGTAGTCTTGGCCCCACCCTGGCAGAGCAGAGTGGGGAGGATGGGGACACAATGACGCCCTGCCCCAGACCAGCTAGCCATCTGCATTACCCAAACTGTATTGCAGCTTTTGTTCCCTAGTGTTCCAGATAAGCTTCATTCCCTGAAAGAAGGATGATGATACCTAGGTATAGCCTGTGGAGAATCCCGCTAGAAAAGGCAACTGACATTTATTGAATACCATGTGCAAGACAATTATGCATAAGTCATATCGTTTTCATTAGCATATAGAAACCAAAAGAAAAAAGAATCTCGGGGGCCTTCCACCCCATCTACCTGGCCATCTCATCCCATCCTTGCACTACCAGTCTCATACACTCTGGAGACTCCCTGGGACTGTTCCCCCTGCCCCATCCTCTGCCAAAAAAAGTAAAAGGCAATGCTGAGGAAATGCTGGTTTGACTTTTGGATGATACTGACTGGGTTTGCAATGCTATTGAGTCCAAAACAAAAGTTCTTCCAAAGAGAGGAAAACCAATGCAAGTAACAGCAACACTATACCTACTTCACAACCATCTCTATCTGGCCAGTCCATTAGGGAGGCCCGGAAACCTTACCTTCAGTGTAACTGAGGAATGGTATAGGGTTAGGGGTACTGGAAGAAGCAGCGCCCCTTCCCTCATGAGCTTTGGACGTTTCTCTGCTGAGGATGGTATTAATGTCATTATCTTCTCCTTCCCCAGATTCTTGGATCTGGTACACAAATGAAGGGGGAGGTTTGGATGCATTGCTTTCAGGGACAGCAGTAAGAAATTGGTTCCCAATTTCCACCTTGTAGGTTGAATGGTACTGTTGACCTCCTTGTCTTCTTTACTCCAGCCCCCAAATAACCTGCCATGTTCTTTGTTGCCAGTCCGTTGTTAGAGATTCCAGGCCACACCTTATGCCGTTTCCGTTGGCATGTTTAAAATACCCATTCAGAACAAAGTTTTCTAATGAGATATGGGGTGAAGTACCCCATAATGAAAGTCCCAAATTTGCCTTGAAAGAAGCCTGGGAAGCTTAATTATGTGTTTCCAGGCCCTTCCCTTGGGAGTGATTTTGTTGATCTGAGGTGGAACTTGGAAATCTGAATTTTTAAATCTTCAAATATGGAAACAGTCCTAAATAGTATATCTCTATGAGGAGTTTCTGGCTTGTTCTATAAATCCCATCTCAGCTATACTATGCGCTATTGTCAAGTAGCAACATTCTAATGAGTAGAACTGAAGGTAGAATTATTAGCTGTCTGCTTCCTCCGAAATCCCACTCCTAGTCTATGCTCCTATTTGCTGTGCTGCCCCCCAGTGGCCATCTGAAAAACTGGAGGCTCAGATACTTGCACAAAGGCATATTGGTTGAGTGAGTCTACTGAATGTTGAGGTCCAAGACTCTCCCTGACTCTCTCTGTGGTGAATGGGTTTTTTTTTTACCGTTTATTTATTTTTGAGAGAAAGAGACAGAGCATGAGTGGGAGAGGGGCAGAGAGAGAAGGAGACACAGAACTGGAAGCAGGCTCCAGGCTCTGAGCTGTCAGCGCAGAGCCCAACATGGGGCTCAAACTCACCAGCGGTGAGAAAATGACCTGAGCTGAAGTCGGACGCTTAACCAACTGAGCCACCCAGGTGCCTCTGTGGTGAACAGGTTTTAAGACAACTCATCTAAGAAGTGTGGTAAACGTGGTAAAAAGTCCCAGCAAGGTGCCATGAGCCTAAGAGGCAAAAAGCCTTCTGCCCTAAATTGGTTCTCACTTTGAGATATTGGAATGGTTCTTTGTTGGAACACTAGCATGATGTAGTTGCATTGTAAAGGTACAGGTATAGTGTGGAGAAGACATGAGCAATAACAGACTGAGGCAAAAGGACCAGTCATTTATTGAGGGTGTAGATAAGAAAACAGTGGGGAATAAACTGTATTGGCCTTTGAGGTATCCCAGTTGTTGTAGACCTGCATCCCCTATAGATATCTTTGAGCAGTAAGAGAAAGTAAGGTGGGGTTCCTGGGCCCTGCAAGAACTTTCCACCCCATAGCTGCAAGAAGCAGTCAAGAAAGAATGATAGCATTTTCAGGGGTTTTGTTTTGTTTTGTTTTGTTTTAATTTTATTTTAGAGAAAGAGAGAGCATGAGCGGGGGAAACGGGAGAGAGGAAGAGACAGAGAATCTCAAGCAGGCTTCATGTTCAGCGTGGAGCCTGATGTGGGGCTTGATCCCATAACACTGGGATCATGACCGTAGCTAAAATCAAGAGTAGGACACTCAACCGACTGAGCCACCAAGGCACCATTCAGGGTTTGTTGTGCTCCTAAGTTCAGGAATTGTATGAAAGCTTAGTAAGTATCCAGGTATTTAAACTGTAAGTTTGAGGGGCAGGGATGGATTACTGGGAAGCCCAAATGCAATAAATTAATCAAATTAGGCAGAGACTAAGTTATGAAAAGGAGCAATAGATTTTGATGCCTGACTCCATGGAGGGCTCCAGTTGGATTTCAACCACTGAGGTGTGTGTTAAGGTAAGAGTAATGTGACTGGGGTCAAATCTCAACTATTCCCAGGGAAGCTGCTAGGAGACCCAGAAGAGGAATTCTGATCTTAAATCTGTTGCTTGAAGGCAAACCAGGGAGCTACTTTTGGTTAGTCCCATTTTCCCTTAAATAGTCAGGCCTGGCCATCAATTCAGCAAAGGGTTTGCCTTCTCTGCTTTATACTCCCTGTCCCAGCAAAGCTGGGAGAAAGGATACTCCTCTTCCTTCAGTGGAAATGAATTCTAGATAGAAGGGCAGAAGCCATGTGCTGGAATAGCTATGTGTGTGTATGTGAAAGTCCAGGTTCAGAGACAATCCCAGGACTTTGTACTGCATGATGGGAAAATGACCCTTATACCAACCCCAGGATAGGACAAGCCAAGGTTATCCAAAAAAGTAAGCAGGGGGGGGGGGGGGGTTAGCTAGAGCTAAGAGTGCAACAGAAATATTATAAAGGGAAATGGGTATTACATATTTTATGTTGTTACCAGTTTTGGCACTGGTGTCAAATATCCCATTGAAGTCTCTGGATTTTTCCTTCCCATTGTCTGCAGAGATTTGTCTGGACAAATGAGAACTGATGTAAGGGACCAGATAGCAGTAAGTGGTAACTCAAAGTGGATACGGATAGATCCTTCTGAGGTATAATGATGCCTCCACAGGACAGGAACCATAGAAGCCTTCAACCCATCATCTTTCTGGTCCCTGAAACTGGTAACTCCTTCCATGTCAATACAGCACAGTAGACCCTCCCCATAGAGATGGAACCCTAGGTGTGCCAGAAGTTGTAATTATACCTTATCTTTTGTTGTTCAGATCAATGTTAGCCACTAACACGATGATGATGTCATCATCTCTTTCTGTGCATACATCTTGTACCCACTTACGTGTCTGCTTTAAAGCATTGATGTCTACAAGACTGTTGTGGAGAGTTGAAACATTTAGTAAAGGTTTAGAGAGAATAATGTTCTTGCACTTCCACTCTGCTAGTCTTACCTTCCTATTGTTTCCCTCAATCCCTTTTTCAAATAAAACATGCCATAACAGTCGTGATGTCCTAGACAGCCACAGCCATAGTCGAACCATGTATGTAGCTAGGAATTTAGGCTTCAAGAGCACTCCTGGCCAGCTGTGTCCCATAGCAGCAGCTGAACCTGCATAAGAAAATGTCTAGAAAGGAAAGACACTTGCTTTTAAAAGGCTAGAACTTAATAAAGGAAAAATAAAAAGAACAAGGGAACAAGGTCCCTTAAAGGTGGCTGCTATGGCCACAAACCAAGTGGCCTACCATCCTTGCACAGGTCTAATCTCAATATACTGTTTTGATTAAGGAAGACCCTATAGAGCAGCAGATTTAAGGATTCAAAGCCTCTTGGATTTTGTTATAGGTGGAGATTAGATGAAGGCAGAGAAAACAAAGCAGGGTTTGGTAATTTGGGGAAGCTTCATATTTTTCTTCCCCTTAATTTTTTTAAGTTTATTTTTTAAGAGAGATACAGAGCACATGAGTGGGAGAGGGGCAGAGAGAGAATCCCAAGCAAGCTTTGAGCTGTCAGTGCAGAGCTGGACGTGGGCCTCTAACCCATGAAACGAGATCATGACCTGAGCCAAAGTCAAGAGCAGGATGCTTAATCGACTAAGCCACACAGATGCCCCTTGTCTTCCCCTTCTTTATCCACAGATAATCTAGGCTGGTGCTACTCTATTGTTATGAATAGGCCTAAGAGGTTGAGGTTAGTGATATGAGAGTAAACATTCACTATTTGTCCTCCCAAGTACTTGATCTTAGACAGGAAATCAATTCCAATGATTGCCTGCAAATGAGAATCAGATACTCCACCCCTCTACTTCCAATACCAGGGTAGTCTCAGAACCAGAAGTGGAGAATGGCCCTTGAGAAGGTTGTCCTGGCTCAGCTTCTCAGTGCTTACAATAGATAACTGAGAAGATTCCCTAGGTGAACTGGCTGAGGAGTGGGCAAAAATGTATTGTGTGAGGGGCACCTGGGTGGCTCAGTCGGTTAGGCTTCAGACTTCAGCTCAGGTCAGGATCTCACAGTTGGAGCCCCACATCCGGCTCTGTACTGACAGCTCAGACCCTGGAGCCTGCTTGAGACTTTTGTCTCCCTCTCTCCGTCCCAACCCCGCTTGCGCTCTCTCTCTGTCTCTAGAAATAAATAAACATTTAA